GGGGGCCTGCCTCTCTAAAAGCCTCCGCAGCACCTCAAGCTGTTTCCTTGGGTTCTGGTTGCGAGGCAAACAACCCTGACATCAGCCTGACCCAGCTGGTCTCGCCCCGCCCCTGGCTCAGGCCACGTTTGCAGGTTGAGAGGGACGGAGGGGCTTGGCCAGAACCTGTGGCGCTGGTGAGGGGAAACAGCGTCTGGGCCGGATTCTGCTTTGCTGCATGGGACTGGAAAGGGCCCTGCCCTGCAGGTAAGCCCAGGAAAGTGGCTGCTGGGCAGGCTTTCCCCATGCCATGCCGTGCTGTGTTGCTCAGGCTGTGCAGGGTCAGGCTCCACCAGCACTGGGGAGGGGAAGCAGCAGCTGGGCCGCAGGTCTGGCCCAGTCAGCACCAGGGAGGAGAGGTGGTGGCGGAGCCGTGTGCCGGGCCCCAGCAGTGGGGTTTCAGGGGCATCAGACCTCCCCCAGAACTTTCCCCCTACCTGTGCCACCTGGTCCCAAAAGGAGGAGGCTCCGCCTCCATTACTGCTGGCCAGTGCCAACCCAGTCGAGCTCACCCCGTCCCAGCAGCATGTGGGAAGCTGGCTTCAGCTGCATGCGGTTCCGGATGGGACGGACCCAGCCGGGTTTGCACCAGCCAGAAAAAGTGGCATGCAGCTGAAGTTGACTTCCCATGTACACGGCTCCACCGCAACTTCTGCTCCCTGGTGCAGACTCGGCTGGGCATGTCTCATCTGGAGCAGCATGAGGCTGAAGCCAGCTTCCCACATGCTGTTGGGGATGGGGTGAGCCCGGCTGGGTCTGCACCGGCCAGCAGAAGCAGCAGCAGAGCCATGTGCTGCTCGGGACTGACCGGTGCAGGCAGGGGGAAAATGCAGCTGAGCCCCTGCTGCTCCAGCTGGCCTCGCCCCATCCCGAGCAGCACACAGCTCCACCGCCACTTCTGCTGGCTGGTGCAGACCCGGTCGGGCTCCTCCCATCCCCAGCAGCACATGGGAAGCTGACTTCAGCTGCATGCTGCTTTTTCTGGCTGGTGTAGACCCGACTGGGTCTGTCCCACCCGGAGAAGCATGAGGCTGAAGCCAGCTTCCCACATGCTGCTGGGGACAAGGTGAGCCCAACTGGGTCGGCACTGGCCAACAGAAGCAATGGCACAGCTCGTTTTGGGACCATCTGGCACAGGTAAGGGGAAAGTTCTGGGGGAAGTCTGATGTCCCTGAAATTCCACTGCTGGGGCAGGATGTTAGAGGGGTCACAACCCCTTGCTACCTGGTAAGTTGTGCAAGGGGAGGGACTTCTGGCGACAAAGGTCAGGGGGCAGGACTTCCAGTCCCAAGATGGTGATCAGGGAGTGGGGCAACTGAAGGGGCAGGGCTACTCATGCGGCCCTTGACAGCTTGCCAAAACTCATCAAGCGACCCTCCACCCGAAATAATTGCCCGCCCCTGCTATACACAGTGACCAAGTCTACATGAGATGCTGACTGCGCAATAGCGTCACATGGCACAAAGTGTGATGTGATGCTACTGAGCAATAGTAATGAGCTACTGCATAGTCAGCATCACCTAAAAGCCATTCAGTGACGCTACTGTGCAGTAACTTAGTTACTATGTAGTCATTTAATATTCATGTAGGCAAGTACTAAATGACTGTGCAGTAATAACTGCACAGTCAGTGTCTCGTGTAGACATGGCCAGTGAGTAGTATCTTACTCTTTAAACAGTCCTATTTAATTTGGCAGGCCTGACTGTGGTGTAAAGTACTGTTTCATATGAATAAGTTTAGTCTGGTTCATAGCATCTGATTATTTCACAAATTTAGGGAACCTTGGATTAAGCCAGAAGATTCATCAGCAATTGGAAACACACATGAGGGAGGAGGTGGCTGGCAATGAGCTGATGCTGATACTGTACTTACCAAAGATGAACACCTGCATTTCCAAAACCAATACCAGCAAAACCACTTGCTAAGTGCATGTTAGCCCTTGCTTCATGGTCTTCAGAGTCTCTGATAGCTCTACAAGCAATAGAGATGATTAACACATATGCCATGTTTACATTGCTTCCAGGCTCAACATGAGACTGCCACGAAGAAGCATGCCCCACCAACTTGCTCCTGCTTAGCCTAAATGAAAGCCTGGACACTACAAACAGAAACAACAACATTTATTTATACTGAACTGTTTCAGTGAAGGCAAAATCCCACTTTTCACCATCACAGAACTGAGTCCCTGGTTGAAATCAATCATCTCCACACTATGTTTATTATTACAGTGTGGTGGAAATAGCAGTTATTATTTTATCTTTTACCCTACACAGGGGATTCTGGTTACTGTCATGAATGCAGATCTGAGACCGCTCCCAGCTTTTCCATCTATATCTGACAGAGTTTAAGGGTCTACCTGAGCAGGCATGGGACCTGACCACTCTCCCTCCTTACATCCTAGCCTGGTTCAGGAGCTTGACAATACTGAGAGATTCCAACCACAAGGAATAATAAATAGGCAGTCAAGCTAGTTATGCTTTGCACAGTAAGGGAAAAGTGTGGATCCTTAGATTGGAAAAGCCAGAACATTTGAAAATTACCCAGGGGCTAGATCTTCATTGGTAAAGATATAATCCAACTTCCAATTAAGAAAAAGAAAAAAAGAATCAATTTAAACTGGGCCCTAAATGATCTTGAAGTAAGTTATTAACTACTTTCAACGAAGGTATAATTTTAAATGCATAACAGATTAATATAGACATCTTCAGAAGATACTGATCTAGTATTCTGTACAAATGTCTTCTCATCATGCTGACAGTCAGAGAGTTGATAGCAGCCTTGTGTCACTTTATTGAGTATTTTCCCTGAGGCTATTACAGAAAAATGACAACTAAATACTCTTCATAGGATTGCTCTTGGATTTAGCCATGTCACTTCTAGGGGTGCACCAATAGAGATTTTTTGGTCTGATACTGATGGCCAATTTTTAATGAGCCATATCAGCAGATACTGATCTGATTGCCGATATGCAGCTGGGCATCTTGAAGAGCAGAGTCTGACTGGTAAGTCTGTTGTGGGGGAAGAGGAGAGGGGAGAGGGAAGGGGCATGAGGGTGGCAGATCAAGGCCCCCGCAGTGAGGGAGGGAGTGGGGCTAGGGCAGGCGCTGCACAGCCGGGGTGGAGTGTGGGGTGTTGCTCCTGCCGCTACATGCATCCCAGGAGGGCATGAGGGGTGTGTGACCCCAGATCTGTGTGCGGGGTGAGGGCGACCTGCTGCTGTGGGCTTGGGCCGGAGCTGTGCTGGGGGCAGGCAGCGGCACTAGGAGGGGCTGCAGTCACCCCAAAATTTGCCATAGCCCCTCTCCCAGCACCGCTGCCACCTTCCCTGAGTGTAGCCCTGGCCTAGCCCACCACTGGGAAGAGCCTGGGACCACCCCTGACCCCAGCCCGCAGCAGCAGCCCACCTTCACCCTGCATGCAGATCCGGGGTCACACGCCCCCATACCCTCCCGGGGTGTGTGCAGTGGCAGGAGCCCACCCCCTCCCCCCTGGATGAGTTGCTCGTGGTGCCATCCTGTACTCTGCCCCAGCTGTGCAGTGTCTTCCCCTGTTGCTGCCCTGGCCTCAGCCCCACTTTCTCCCTCACCCTGGGAGCCTCGATTTGTCCACTCCCTGCCATGCACCTTCCCTCACAACAGAATTACTGGCCGGACCCGGCTGCTCTCCATGATCCTGGGCTGCGCTCCTGACCACCTGCATGCTGCGTTGCAGCTGTGCGCATGCACAGGGCATTTATCGGCCACACTATCGACCACATCAGCCAAAATAAGCCGATTGCTGATACTGTCAATGTTTCTTATATTGGTGCTGATCCGATATGGGACTGATGTATTGGTGCACCTCTAGTGACTTCCATTGCTGTAACTGAGTGTTATATGGCTAAATCTTTAGACACCACTTTAAAAAGTTATCCCACAAGGTCAAATTGGTGAAACCTAACTTGGCTCCAATTTTATTTGATGCTGTTTTACGGAAGGGCAAAGCTAAGGGCTAGGATAGAAAATGAACTTCTGATACAGTTGTTCACCTCATCTCAGTCAAGGTTGGCTTTTTACCAGTGTTCATCACCAGGCATAAAATTGAGCCTGCTATCGGTATAAAGGTTTGCTAGACAGACATTACCTTTTCAAATATTTTGCCACAATACGCAGCGCGTGGAGAGCCCAGACATCACTGATCGGATTGCTTCCCTGGTAAGCCGGCCGGTTGATTGGATTTGAAGGGCAAGGACTGCGCATCTTATAAGGAAGAGCAGTATATGATTCTAAGGCATGGCTAAAATAGAAAGATTTTTTTTTAATAAAGAAATGTTTATACTTGAAATGGAAGAATACCATTTTTCTCCAGCATACATCTCCTGCAAGGGATTTAGGGTGTTACAAACTCACTTCCACTGAATACACCGAGCTCCCACAAAAATGGCATTTCTTTCCAACAGGACAGGAGAAATGTAAAGATGCCAGGACTATACATGTATCCCCCTTACTCTTTTCTTTTTTAAGTTGACCTTGACAAAGCAAAATCAACACTATCAAAAGGAATTGACTGCTGTCATTTTTGTCTGCTGGCAACTTATAGTTATGGTCATGATGAAATGTCCAGCTTTACACAAAAAACATGAAGGAAACACAAACTTTTAATTACAGCTGCACCGATACACTGGTACATATTGTATCGGCACCGATAAAAGGAAAATTGACATTACCAGCTTTTTGGCTGATGTAGCCAATGATGTCACTGATAAATGTTGTGTGTATGTGCACAAACGCAGCATGCACGTGGCCAGGAGTGCAGCCTAGCAGCTTGGAGAGCGGCGTCCAGCTGGTAAGTCTGCTGGGGGGAAGGGATGGGGGAGAAGAAGTGTGTGTGTGTGTGGGAGCAGATCAAGGCCCCTGTGGTGAGGGAGTGAGTGGGGCACACGCCCCCCATACCTGCTCCAGGGGTGTCCACAGTGGTGGGAGCCACCCTGACCCTACCTAACAAGCTGCAGCTCTGTCCCGCGTCCTACCCTGTCCTTGCAGCCCCTGCCCCAGCCTTACTCCCTCTCACCGTGGGGTCTTTAATCTGCACCCCCATGCCCCTTCCCTCCCCCCACCTCTTTCCTGCAACAGACTTACCAGCCAGCTGCTGCTCTCCAAGCTGCTGGGCTGAATATTGGGAATTGGATCAGTATCGGCTGATATGGATGCTTAATAATCAGCCATTGGTATCGGCCCAAAAAATCTTTATTGGTGCACCCCTACTTTTAAGGTGTTTCTGGATAAACAAGCTCAAGCATACCACAGAATATGATCTTCTACATGCATTTTTGCAGTTAAAACCTTGGGCTGAATCATTCTGTTTGTCTTTCAAAATGGTGACTGATTTTTGAACCAAGTTATAGAACAGGGGTAGGCAACGTTTTTTGGCCAGAGTGCCAAAAAACCCACAATGTCTACCTTGGCAGGTGCCTGAGTGCTGACATGCCAAGGCCTGGAGCAGCTGGTTGCAGCCTCCCAGCTGCAGCCAGCCCCTGGAGACCAGTCTGCTTGCAGCAGGGCTTGCACCCTCCCAGCTGCCTGCTGGGAGCAGCCTAGGCTCTGTGGCTGGCAGCAGCTGCTTACAGCCCGGACTAGCAGTGGTGTGCTGAGCAAAATGGCCTCGTGTGATATGCTCGGCACATGTGCTGGGGGTTGCTGACCCCTGTTATAGAATATAGACACACTGAAACAAGACTAAAGCTGCTGGCTTATTGAGGGTGCCAGCAGCTCACAAACTTCCAGCAAACGCTTTGTCAATGCACTTCTCTCCTGATATAGAAAACACCTGATGTTCTAAATTTTGTGGTAGCTTTACCATGAATTCTATATTTAAAACCTTTGCAGATGGCCACAAGCAGACTAAACTGTTCTGATCATTAATATCTGTCCTTTCTATCAGATGCACATTTCAGTTTACATGATGTCATATTGAATGAAATAGTTTGAATGTTTGTAAAGATTGCCCATTAGCCAGTTTCAGGAAGAAGATAGGATCTATCTCCTTATCTAGCTCATTGTTTCGGAGCTACGGCGAAATGTCCTGACTTCACTTAAAGTCTTAATCTAAATTGTATCTTTAGAAATTTTTTACAAAGAAAGTAAATATCCTAAATTCCGAGACATCAAAGCCTAAGGCCTTTTAACCAAATTGCTAAGAAAAGAGTATTTACAGTGATATGGAAGTCTCCCCAAGAATAATTTAAAAATGCTCAACAAAGGTAATTTCTGTTGAGTAAGATCCGAGCCCAAATTTGGGAGTTATGATGAATTGAGTAGGAGGAGCCCAATGACGGCAGCTCACTCAATAAAAACCTGTAACTTACTGTCCCAATTTGGAGGTGACTTCACTTGCAGAACAACGAAGGAAGAATCGCAAGTATAAGTTCAGATTAGATTGATCGCCTAATCAAGCCTCTCCGTGAACACGAATCTCTTAGTTCACGCTGAAGCCGCGGAGCGCCCGAAAGGGACTGAAGGAAGGGGACGTAGTCCTATCACTGGTGAGCCCAGCTCATTGAATCGTATTGCTGAGGCCAGCCTATTGAACCGTACTACTGAGGCCAACCCATTAAATCGTACTACTGAGGAATGAAACCATATTTTGGTATTTGGCTTCTCGGAATTCTAGGATTGTAAGTATATTATGAAAAATAACAGTATTGATTCAAATTTAACTTTTAGTTGTAATTGTAGTTGTTTTTGTAACACTAATTCTTATAGCATTGTTTGGGAAGGAAGTGCATTCGGAGCATTGTTTCTGATATATGTAATTATTGTGTTTTTAATGTTTGTGGTGTTTCTTAAAGCTAAGCAGTGTTATATACGTAGCAAAGAGTTTTAAAATAAAATTGTGTTGTATAAATTAAGTGTGTAATCATTGTGAAATCGTGCAATCAGCTAACTACTCCCCCAGCCAGTGCATCAAAACGAATCAGTAAATTGTGTGGGATTTTCTCTATTCCATAACCCACTAGAGACACATGAGTGAGTAATGTTGTGGTGACATTATGGCCATGATGGTCCAGGAAAAATGCAAGAGACAAAGATTTTTGTGGGTGATATCTTTTATTGGACCAACTGTATAGCTGGGAGGCACATAGGCAGCTTGTAGGTAACACTGAATCCTTCCTCAAGATTTTGTGAGTCACCTTAGACAACTCTGAATCATCTCACAAATCTATGACTGAGTAAGGCACTTTGATTTATTTCAAAGGCTTAGGAGGATTGAGGGTTATGATGTATTAAAGAAACAGGAAGGACTGAAATCAACTGAAAATTGACACAAAGGAAAATTGTCTTCCTATTAAAACAGGCATTTTTTTCCAACTTAAATGCAAAACAAACCAACCAGCCAAACCAATCAACCAAACAAAAAAACCAAGCAGCCCACACAGAAAACTTACCAAAGCACATCAAAGCCAGTATTGGCCACTACTCTCTCTGGCATAGACAAAGTGTGCAGAGGATCAATCATACCCAAAATGGGCTTAAGGGCTCTTGAAGCAATGCCTAAAGCACACATAAGAGTTTATTGTAAGAATTATTTTACCATAGAAGACAGAATATCTTGAATGTTTAAAATATGGAAGAAAAATTAATGCACATCATCTGAAACTATAAAGATATGGGGAGAAGAAAGGGAATGCATGTAATGAATATGCATCTAAATTCTACTGAGAGAAGATGACTATGTTTTTGTAAAAATATTAACTGTTACCTTGAAAGACAATCTTTCTAGAGGACTGAATTACACAAATAACAACTTACATTTTTCATCTTTTAAAATTAGTAATTCAAAATCAGGCTAGGTAGCTAGACAATTAAAAGAAAGATGTTACTGAATACTGGCTGGCTTTACACAGCTGTGAAATGAGATGATACTCATCATGTCATTCTATGGTGTTAACTCAAAGCAATATAATAATAGTCATCTTTGACAGCAGCCTGCACAGAAAGATCAGAGATGCAAAGACTGGAGCATCTGCTCCCCACTAGCATGATCCCTGTATTCCATCCAAGCACAGGAGAAGGAATATATCAGACAACAGACATGATCACTGACTTTATAGTCTGAAAGGAATCAGACTTTGATAGCAAATAATTCACACGTTGATTTACCAATGGCATTAGCACATCAGCTTTTTAAAACTCCTTTACCTCCACCAGTTAATGACGGGACCTTGTCTTTATTTTTGTTTTTGTCATTTGCTGTTGGTTAAGGTCATGAGTAAAACAGATGACACACTGGCTCTGCACATGAAGGTACAAATCTGAGAGCATAGGATGGCTCCAATTGGAGAGTGACAGCTTTCCTATAAGTTTAATAGGGGTGCTAAGCTGCAAAAGACAGAACATTTCCTACTGCAGGAAGCTTGGATGAGCTGAGATTTTTTCTTGGAGTGAATCACACTGGACATTACCTCCTCACTACTTGAAACCTTCCCTGACCATCTTACACTCTCAAAGTGACTGTGGAATGGCCTCCAGAACATTGTTCTTCAATTTAACCTTCCACAAAAAACAGCTAAGCATTAGCAGAAGGCCAGACTTGTTCACCTGCTAAAAATAATTTGTGTTTTCCTCATGAATGCAACTGGCCCTTTAGAAATGTTACTAATGCATAATACTGTTTTGCTTTATATGGACCGGAACTGGGCAAATTCCAAATTACAGCTAAAAATTTCTCATGTGCCCTACTGCAGCCTCAAATACTGCAGTATGTATGATATTTAAAATCGATCAGTGTTAAGAAACCACTGCAATACCTCAGGCTAGCTATGAAGCTTAATGAAGGCATTTTAGTCTTAATCTTTATTTTCTGAGAGTAACAAGATCAAAGACAGACAGTGTCCATTTCTTTTACTGCATTTCATGCAAGAAGTTAGGAAAAGGAACATTTGGACCCAATTACACAACAAAGAAATGGATCTTGAAAACAGAAAAAAATAGAGGAAATAATGAACAGTCAGTTGACCCAAAATATATGTAGACATTTCCTTTGTACATAACACATTCCACTGTTCAGAGACTTGAAAGATTATGCCTTCAAACTATAATCTCCTGTATTATTCAAGCATTTCATTTTGTTAATATGTTTTAAAATTTCATTCAAAAGAAAAACCTTCAATCTGTTAAGATTTGTCTGTAATGGATGAATAGAATGAAACAACAGCTGACATTACACAAGTAATGGCTTTATCTCAAGACAGAGGAATACAGTGAAAGACTGGAAAAGATTGGATTTTGTTAAGTACTGGTCATATATTCTTACCAGTTTTTACTTTTAGGTCTTTGTAGTCAAAAATGGCAACACCAGTGGTTTCACTTCCAGTTCCAGCTGTTGTAGGAACTTCAAAGAAGGGAAAATTGTATTAATTCAACAAAAAAATAAAGGTTCCTTACCTATACCATGGGTGTGAAGTAGAAGAAATATGCAGAAGCCACTCAAAGAATATAGCATTTTAGATGACTAACTTGGTATAAGACACAGAGGACACATCTACATGAGACATTTACAGTAAGTTGCCTAATTAGCTCCACAGTAAAATGTCACTGTCTACACATGTGGTGCTATTAGGACGGAATAAACTAATTAACTCTGCTGTAAGATAGTACTTGCAAATATAAGTACTATTCTACAATGGAGTTATTTATTCCACTGCAACATGTGTAGATGCTGACCCAGCAGGCAGGGACACAAGGGTACTTCAGTGCAGGAGCTGCCTGCCAGTAAGCCCTACACAGAGGTACCCTTGTGTCCCAGGTAGCCCCTCCGCAGAACACTGAGCTGCAGCCCTGGGCTGGCAGGCTGACTCCCAGGGCCCCCTGCCAGCCAGGGCCGTTCTAATCTGACTCAATTTGCTGCGGTCCTGGGTGCACATTCAAACAGTGCCCAGGAGCAATAAATTCTGGCACAAATTGTGTTGGAGTTTATTGCTTTGAATTAATTACATGTGTAGACATGCCCAGAATGGCATTATAAGAGTTGCATAGCTGAAGCATAGTGTTCTTTCACTGACTATAGTAACTGTTATAGTGTGCAGTATGGAATTCTTAAACGTTTATATATAATATTTATGGGGGTTCCCAAGAACCTTGAAAGCAGTGTGAGCCCAGTTTGCTATACAGTTTTCAAAAGCAAAAGGAAGACAAAAGATGCCAAAACTCCTTTAAAATTAGTATTAACATCCTCAGCTGCAGATTGTATCAGAAGCCAGGCTGGACTCTTGACCAGCAGAAGAAAACACACCTTAAAAAACACAACTACACACAGATACTCTTATCTTTCTTCTACTTTGGAAATGGGGACAATGATGATTTGGGCTTAATGGTGGCTTTATTAGCATTTGCATATAAGAACAGATTTTAAATATTATTCCTAACCATTTTTTGTTATGTTATATTGTGACTAAGTTGTATATGGTTTTTATGAGTCTGGAAAAATACATGGGTCTGTTTTAATTGAAGATAATGAAGCTGCATGAACAGAGAAGTGTGTTAATTATTAAGGTCCTGATTAAAAGGTCATTAAAGTAAATAATTTTCCCATCACTTCAATGAACTTTGGATGAAACCCTATAATTGATACATAATAGATATGATGATCAATGCTAAATTAACTGGTTAGTTATATATTAATGCATTTCTGGGAGGCAAAGAACAGTTGCCATAGAAATAAGCAGGTCAAATCTTCAGTCTTTTACAGATGTGTGGAACATGCTGCATATGGTAAAGGTTAGGCCAGTGCTAAAGAACTATACCCTTAAAATGCACGCTGATCAAAGAAACAGAACCCCATCCAGTTACATAACAAATGTAATATATTTCTTACAGCATAAGGGCTATATACAGTTAGTACTGGGGTGTGCAGATCAGAATAGTTTATATTTATATTCACAATGGACTGGGGCATGATAGCAGAACTGTTAAGACATCTTGCTTCAGCTCCAGAGGCTCCTCCTCCAGGCTTGTGGTGAAGGTGGCACCCCAGCTGAACTAAGCACCTGGCTATCTGGGCTTAGGAGTTGAAGGCAGAAGGACATGACACTAGCGACATCACAGTGTATGCTGTTGGCTACAAAAACTGGTGTGCCTTAACAATTCTAGCCCAATGGGCCAGTCAGCTCAGGCTGACCTTTGACTCTGAAAGCACAGTGTACTTGTAGGGCATGTGGAAGAACTGGTTAATAGATTTAGGTTCAATGGGTCCAGAGAAGCAACCATGTGATTATTCTTTGTGAGCAGATGACAAAGGTGAAGTGAAAAACCTGGTGCAAACTACATGATCCTATGCTCTTTAAGTCTTGGCAAAAAGTAGAACCAAAAGGAGGTGAAAATGGTTGAATGTAAATGACTCAAATATAAACAACTTACACAGAGCCTTGAAAGTAGAAAAAAATATTACTCTTCTGTTTCTTTACCTGCAATGAGTGGCTTAAGGGGCACTGTAACAGCCTTCCCTTTTCCAATGGGAGCATTGACATAATCCAGGAACTCTGATTCAGGGCTGGATGCATACAGGTTGGCTGCTTTACAAGTGTCTATTGAAGAACCTCCACCGACAGCGACGTAAGCATCAAACCCTCCCTTCTTAGCAAATGAGATAGCATCTATGAAACTTGGAAGAAAAAGAAAATCAGAAGAACAGCACCAGGCTTCCAAACTTAACTGTTAATACCAATATATATGCTGTTAGTACAGAAGCATGTAGAAAACAAAATTATGAGAGCCAGGAGAACTGAAACAGGTATTTTGGAAAGCATGCATTTTCCAAATTATATGAAAGAAATGATACCTCTGATCAGTCGGCTCCACCCTGACATTATCGTACATTTGAAAGTTTATACCATTTTTTGCAAGGGAATTCAATACCATTTTTGCTGGAGGGAGCTTGCAAAGATTCTTATCTGTCATCACACAGACTTTTCTAGCACCCATATTCTGCAGGTCCTACAATAGAAATAAAAGAAACAAACAAAACCCCCTGGATGAAATCTAAACTAGATTATTTAAACCTCAATCTAATTATATTAAACAGTTTTGTACAAAACACTGAGCTATGGTAAAATTTCAAAATCATAGTTAAATAAAACATTTATAGCACACATGTAAGGTCATAGAAAAAGATGTAGTTCAGAACATAGATCAATCTTAGAGCCGAGAAGCAATATAAAACGCTGAAGGTATATTATTAATAGTCCCTATGAATGAATGGCCAGCAAGCCGAAACCATCTAGGATTATTCAAGATTACAGAAAAAGATATGGTTTAGACTTCATTCAGTATTTCCCAATTAAATATATTTACACAATCAAGGTGATCTAAAAAAGCTATACCAGGGACTGATCTATCCCAGGAGTTTGCAGGATATCTATTAATGCAGTATCAAAAGCCCAGATTAAAAAATAATTATGTACCCAACTTTAAACACTAATTATTTTTGACATAATCTGAGAGGGAAGGGGACCAGATGTATTTGGGGAATGAATCCAGGTCTCAGAAGTGGCAGCATATTTATTTATATGAATTAAAAAGTATGATAACACAATACTGAGCTATGTGAAACTTCTTAGTGTAAGGCACTCTTGTAAGAGGCCAAGTTATAGTTATTTTGAGAACTAAACTTTGAGGGTGCAGACAGACATAGCAACTGAAATGTTTCCAACTTTTCAAAAAGGAATCTTTCAGCCATGGGATGCTAGAGAAGGCAACAGCAACCTATAGCTCCCTTTTCTATTCCTGCCTTACCTCACAAAGATGGGAAATAAATGGGAGGGGAGAGCAGAGACCCCAGAGTAGAGAAATAAGCAGGGGCAGGAGCTCCATGGCCCTGCACCCAGGTGTCTCCAGTCCCAGCAGGGATTGGGTAGGGAGTGTCAGGCTCCCAGTTCCTGGGCTGGGGAATCTCCTGCTCCTTCCCTTAACTTTAGGTTCTCTACTCTTTCCTCCAGTCTACCTCCCATCCCCATGAAGGGAGGGGAGAGTGGAGATGAGGAACACCTCATTTAAGGACGTACTATTTTGAAGCACTTCAGCTGTTTTTGGAACATTTCAAAGGGCTTGCATGTTTGCAAAGCTGGCCCTTTGAAATGTTTCAGCTGCTGGCCCAATAAAAAATATGCCCCAATAAAAATCATTGCCTCGCCTATTTCCTGGACCATCATGACTACAACATCACTTCGTCACTACCTTCAATTGTGCATCTTACCCCATGTGTCCTTACATCTGCAAAAGTAAAATCTGAAGAATTTAATGCCACATGAATAAAGTATAGATTGCTGTAAAAATATTTAAAAAATGTAAAATACTTACAATGATGTGACTGAAAAGAATATGAAAATAAAATACCACTTCAGACTTCACTGCAGTAATTATCACAATATTATTAACTGTCTACATAAAACTATCTACACAAAACACCTACATCAAATTCAGTTCTTGCTGGCATTGGCCACTAAGAACAGCTTTAACGGTTCATTCTTAAACAATACCTTAATTTAAGCCGTTATTGTGTAAGAGCAAAGAGATAAAAACTGCAGACTCATCCTATACGGTTGAAAGCAATGGAAAAAAGCCTCACTTCAGCGGTGTAGGGTAAGGGTTCAAAGTGAGGTAGACAGTAAGGACTGCATCCAATAACCATTAAGTTAATGGAATGTTTCCTATTCATTTCAGTGAACATTAGACAAGTCTTAATAATGCAGAGCACAAGTTTAGAGATACAAATGTAAAACTTTGTTTCTGGCAGGCAACAGAGGTGTAGGCCCATAATATTTAAGTTGGGTTAGATAAGATTTCTTTTCTTTCTCCATCTGTCCACCTTCTCTATATAGGTTGCAATTTGAGGGAGGGTTAGGAGTTTCTTTCACTGTGTATGTACAATACTTAGTACAATGGAACATGGAACCTTTGAACCAACTGTAAAATCAAATAGGTTAGAACAGCTTTAAGTGGGGGAAAACACCACTTGCATTTTTCTTTATGTCTGAAAAGACAAGAAATCTCCACAGAGTTTCTAAGTATTGTTTTTAAAATATTACAAATGTACAAATATTTACAAATGTCTTAGTAGGACTGAAGATTATGAGTGTTTTTAGCTAAAAAAGTAATTTTGACCATTAAGAACAATAGATTATTTTGGTTTAAAATGAAAGTTACAATACTACTTCTCTAGGCACCACATTAAGACAAATAATAATAAAGCCATCATCCCTGGATTTTCATTAGACATTTGTATATTCTTAGCTCATACATTCTAATTATTCATATTATAAAAAATGGTATAGTTTTAACTTCATTCATAGGCTATATAGCTTGATGTCTTATAAAATGGATAACTGAAGCCTTTTAAAATGGATATTCGCAGGTAACTATCAATATTTTTCTGGAATGTAACATTTCACAGATGAAAGATGTACAACATAAAAGCTTACCATGCCGATTTCTTTAGTAACTCCTTCTCCGTATCTGATGTTTGAAATAGCCATCTACAAAAATATTAAAGAACAATTTTTCTTTTAAATTAAGAAATTGCATTAAGTTCCCAGTAGGTGTGATTCTCATTATTTAATAATTGACATCTTTTTATAAATGCCATATTTAAAAATATCACACTTGTAATCATAATATACTTATTTATTAATATACCTCAAATGCATAATCTGTAGTCTCCAAAACAGCATGTTCAGGAACTGGAATGGAAGTTAAATAGTAAAATTAATAGAAAATTTGTTGATCAAAACAAATCTGGGCTATATCTTTAAGCAACTGCACTTAAGTGCCTTCTTTGCTTTAAAATGTATGGTTATTTATAACATGTTTATAGAGTGCTCCCTGTTTGTCATTTTGGTTGGGGTTTACTTGTTTTGGACCTACTTATGCTACCCTTCATCATATCAAACATAATTTCTTCATAGCAATATTCCCAGTTTCATTTGCTAGTTTAAACTAACTAGATAGTTTGATATATTATAAAACTTAAATTAAAAAAGTTTTAAAAGGTAAATTCTATCTTCCATGAGCTGAATAAGTGACGAATAATTTGCATATATTTATAGTTAAAGTATCTGTTAAGTCTGAAAAGATTCAATAGACTCATTTTATGACTATCTAGAAGTACATGCACAATATTTAAGGTCACCAATAAAGATAATACGTAGATGTAGATGCACATTAACTTTCAGGACAGCTCTCATGACACACATATGACATTTCACACATACATACATGGACAAAAGGCACCCTTTGTTCATCAGAGAATGATTAAAAGTGGCTATTAGGCTTTCCTAAGTCCCTTGCTTTGCACTAGGCCTGAAGTTCTAATTATTCGGTTATCTTACTTTTCCTTTGCCCAATCCTTCTTGTACATGCTATGGAAAAGCTTTTCATGTTGACAGATTTGTCAGAAAATGTAACCAACTGTCTTAGAAAGGTCAAAAAAGATTTACTGCCCTCCCTGCTCCTGGTGAAAGATCATGTCCAGCCATCTGTCTGGTGTACTCATTGATAATCTGGATCCAGACCCAATACGGGAAGCCATAATGAGCATACAGGCCCTTTGGGGAGCACTGACCTACAACAGTGACACACAAATGCATTAGGATCCTTTATGCACTCTCTATTCAGACTCAGGGCTGCTGCTGTTTTCTCTTTTATTTCCATCTCTTGCCAGGCTCTATGTGATTGACCTCTGCTAGTGTTTGAGTCTGCTGTAGTTTGAGTAATTAATTTGACTGTCTGAAGATGTGTCCAGACCACTTATCTTGCTTCCTTTTCATAGTACAATAGATGCCCTGCTGTTGTATTCTTCAAGCAAGCTTAACCTTCATTAAGAACGTTATTGTACTTAAAATTGTATTGTTTCCTCAAAATGCTGTTGTGAAACATTGGCTGTTTTCAAACAGAAGTTGCTATGAATTTAGTCCAGCCTTATATATAAATTGTATCAATTCCCTTTATATATTGGTCCCTGTTTGGGCTTTTGTAAATCAATTTTTGGTTAGGATTTGCTCATTTTGAACCTACTTATGTAACCCTTTATCATATCAAACATAATGTCCTCATAGAATAGTCACAGTTTCCTTTGCTAGTTTAAACTAAGTAGTTAGTTTGATATCATAATATGTACATTTTTAAAAAAGTTTTAAAAAAGGTATCTTGCATGAGCTGAATAAGTGACCAATAATTTGCATGTATGTATAGTTAAAATATCCACTGAGTCTGGAAAGATTGTATGAATCTTAATAATTGTATGAATGTCCAGAAATATTTGCACACTACTTATAATTTTGCTGCTTTATAGTCTCAGTTTCTGTTATAGAGCAAGCTTATGGGATTCCTAGATTATGTAGATTTTCCTTCTGTAGAGAGCCTGTTTTGAATGAACTCACAAGGGTTCCCAAATGTAATCAGGAGACCTAACAATTTCCCAGCTCTGCCATTGCCTTGCTGGGTGATCTTGGGGGAAAAACTGAGTCTGTAAGACAATGATGATACTTACACATCATTATACAGCACTCTGAGGTCTAGGAATGAAATTCACCCTTTCCACAATTTTTAATCAATGCATGACTAATGAAGTAGTGTAGTCCCCACAGTCCTGCCATCAAGGCACCTTCCATAAGTACCTCCATAATATCAGGGTCTGCCCTAGCGACTCCAATTGCAGTATCAGGCTGCGTCCAGATGAGTGTGGATGTTTCTTTCCCTGGGGACAAGTAGCAGTGGCACACCTCATGCCGCTGCTACTGGTTCCCAGGGAATGCCCATGCCACATGTGCTCTGGCGCGTGGCTGGTTACTTTGGGTCGCGAAAGGGAGACTGCGGCCAGCAACTGTGCAGGGCCCAGCAGCCTTACCTGGGGTTCTGGGGCCTTCCTGGGGCTGCAGCCACATCAGGAAACCTGGTCAGGAGCTGGAGCATGGCTCCGTCCAGCCAGGGTCTGGTTTCGGGTGGTGCACACTGCTGCCACATGTGCCGCCCTGCTTTTTTTTTGGTGTAGGATCTCCTGGGGTCAACCTTCCCTTCCCCTCCCTGCCCCACACCCGCTTCCCCCATGCTGCAAGGTAGCAGTGCAGGGGATGCCTGCATGTGTGGTGTGTGGTGCCGCAGATGGGTGTGTGCTTATCTGGACATGGCCTCAAAGTCCAAAAAAACATGTAATTCCAGATTTTCATGAGTAATGAGTGAACTTGAATGGTTCCATTTTGGGGCACCCAATATGACATACCCTCATGAGTCTGATTGTCAAGAGGGCATGGTCATGGATCTCTGCAAATTGAAACCCTTTAAACATGTCTCAGGTCAGGCACTCATACTTGGGCCATTCATAATCGCCAGTAGGACAGTTTGGACAATAATTATTTCTATTCACAAGACAAATGTATTACATCTTGTAAGCATAGCTACGGTATTTAATAAAAAACAAATATGCAGGGTACATTAAGATGTCTTTAACCTTTGACATCACTATTTTGTGAAGTTGTTTCTCCTCTATTGTAAATATTATACACATCTTCTAAATAAGTTATATTTATCATTACTTTGCTCTAACTTTGTTGTACTTTTTATTAAATGCATATGTGGAGTTCGAAGATGTGAGCATGAGGAATAATTTAAGACACAAATTTAACACATTCTTACCTTGGGAGTATGTGTGGGAATGAGATGGACACCGGCATCTAATTAAAATGAAAATACAAACGTTTATCTAAAGATGTAACAGGAAAGCTAGAGCTTTAACAAGCCTGAGCCTAAAGGGAATGGTCCCTTATTAATTAATTTACCATGCCCTGTCTTCCAACATTTATCAGAGATTGCCATCTAGTGTTCAATATTGGTAATACTTTTTTCCCTATTACTCAAATAACTGATTTGTTAGCCCCTGCTCTAGATGCCTTTAAGTGTGGTCCAGGTCTTATATTGTTGCAGTTTAAATTATGGACTCAAATAATCAATTGCTTAGCATAAATTATAGAGTGAATAGGTGCCTCTAGTAACACTAAATGAAGGATGTCTGTAAAATGGCATGCATTAACTGTTGCATCTCATGCAAAACTAAGGAAGTGATACTCCCACTGTACTCTACACTGGTGAGACCGCAGCTGGAGTACTGCGTCCAGTTCTGGGCACCGCACTTCAACAAGGACATGGAAAAAATTGAGAGGGTCCAGACAAGAGCCATCCATGTGATCAGGGGCTTGCAAGACAAGCCATACCAGGAGAGGCTGAGGGACTTGGGCCTCTTCAGCCTACAGAAGAGGCGGCTGAGAGGGGACTGCTGAGAAGGCTGATGTAGCTTACTGCTACATGAGGGGAGTTCATCAAGAACTTGGTGAACAGCTGTTCACCAGGGCACCCCTGGGGAAGATCAGAAGCAATGGGTACAAACTCCTGGAAGGCCGCTTCAGACTCAATTCCAGGAAAAACTACTTCACAGTCCAGGTGTCCAGACTGTGGAATAAACCCCCTCCAGAGACAGTGCAGTCACCTGCCCTGGAAATCTTCAAAAGGAGCCTGGACAGTCACCTTGCTGGGGTCACTTGACCCCAGGTGTCTTTTCCTGCCTAGTGCAGGGGGACCGGACCCGGTGATCTACAAGGTCCCTCCCGGCCCCTAGCGATCTATGAAACTATGAAAATGGATACACTGCTTCCCTCTTTCACACGGCTCTGGCACAAGTGAATTAAGGTATAGGAGGTGCTCAGATGAGGCAGGAAGCATTGCAGATCCGTGCTACAGAAGTCTCAGTGCGCGGGGCGGGGCCGGGCAGCCTCTTTGCGTTTTCACACACGGAGCAGCATGGGGGCGGCCAAACACCGCACCATTTGAACGCGGTTTGAGGAGGCGCCCGTCAACAGGCAGCCCCCCTCTCTCTGCCCCGTCAGGACAACACGGGCAGGGGGGTTGCGCGCACTGCAGAGGGGCGGCGGCGGCGGCGAAGCGGGGCCTAGGGCGGCTGCTCTGCCTCCCGCCTGGGCCCCCGGCCCGGCTTCCCCCGGCCCGGCTCGCGGGGCAAAGACTCACGCGGCCCACTGCAAGCGCCTCAGCAAGTACTCCCCCCGGGGGAGGCAGGGCGCCCAAGCCCGGCGAGCGCCCGGTAGCGCAGCTCCCGCCGCCAGAGCAGAGCCGGGCAGTAATAACTTTAGAATAAGAGCACTGGCAGGGAAGTTTTCCATTTTAGCTGGGAAGTGTCACAGTTACCTCACTAAATAGGATGAGTCCTTTAAGAAAAGGTACAACTTTGCACTAGTGCCACTTGCATGCTGTGAAAACTGAGTCGTTAGCTTAGGTGCATCAAAGGTATGGCCTGCAGCCAGGCCCCGTTAGTCCTATTATACAGTGCCCTGGCCCAGATGGTACACAACAGCCATCTGGTGTGGGCAATGTAAGGGCTGCAGCTGTCAGGACAGTGTACAGGACTGAGGTGCACACCCATGCCAGATGGACTGTACCTGCTGGATCTGGCACAAAGAGCCCAGTTCAGCTCTGCGCCCATCATCTGGGCCATGGGGGGAGTGTGATGTCCTTCATCAAAACGACTGAAATAAGGGATGGGAAGTGGTAGGTTTCCCCTATCTTTGTAATGCATCCTTGCTGTTGAGGATTGCAGAGGTTCTTTCCTCACTCCAGCAGAGTAGGCTCCTGAAACTCTTTTTGGCTGGATATATACAATGACAGAGCCATAGAAAATAAGAGATGATTACAACAGGAAAACAAAACACTCTAGTGCTTTTCAGTCACTGATCAGACATTTCTGCATAACCTGCTGGATGTCAATATACTTAGAGGTCTAAGGCTGAACTAGATATAGCAGTCACTCCTGCAGCAGCTCCGAGTGCACACACTGGCACCTGTTGTAAACCCACGAAGGGTTTGAAAGCAATGGTGTCCACATGAAGTCTACAGCAGGCGAGTTGGAAAAGCTCACGCTCAAGTGTCATCTGCTTGACCCCTTATTGAAATAGTACGTGCAAGGAATCTGGGAACGTGAACTTCACATTTGATATTATTTGGTTGTATGAAACACAGGTTCCATCTCCCACTTCCAAATCCATCAATGCCATTTGTTTCAGTCTTCCCACCTCCCCTCAAGCTGTAGTACAGGGGTGGGCAAAATACAGCCCACTAAGCCATTCTATCCAGTCCATGGGGCCCCTAAAAAAATTAGGAAGTAAATATGTATTCATCTGTCCTTGGTTCCTGTCAAAGATGACAGGAACCAGGGGCAGTAGGACCCAGGTGAAGCCCCACCTGGCCCTGCCCCCCACAGCTGGAAGCCCCAGCAGGACTGGCAGGAGCTCCTATGCTGGGCAGCACAGAGGCCCTGGTGGCAGCCCCACTGCAGCCTACCACAGTGCAAGCTCTGGGCAGGCAGCAGCAGCAAACACTGCCTGGTGTGGCAAACGGGCAGGCCGCAGCTGCTCCTGCTGCAGTGCAGCCCCAACAGGTGAGGCCAGAGCCAGCGTGGGGCCCAGGCTGGCAGCAGGGAAGGTTACAAGCTGGTGCTGAGTGCAGGGACAAATGGCCCCTCCCCTGCCCCATGGTTGGTGCCCTGGGCTGCAGCCACTCACAGCAGGGAATGTACTCCATGGGGCAGGGCCCTTTTTCCTCCATGCTCAGCACCAGCTTGTTCCCTGCCAGCAAGCACCGGGTCGGGGCTGTGCGCTACCCCCTGCCTGTACCACAGGGCTGAGTGGGGCACTGGGAGCGAGAGGGTGCAAGAGCCAGAGGAAGCAGGGGGCCCACACCAGTGTTCCAGGGCCTGTGCCAGCAGGGCCCAGAGCAGGGCGGCAGGAGTATAGGGTCCTGGCTGGCAGGGGCTCTATGGAGCAGGGCCAGCTCCCCCCTCTCCCTGTTGGTGCAGCCCAGCCCGGCTCCACAGACCTCTACCAGCCTGCTCCCTGCCTGTAGTGGCCCTGAGACATTGGTCCCAAGATGGTGACCAGGGGGCAGGGCACCTGTCAAGGGGTGGGACTACCCCTGCGGCCTTCAACAGCTTGCCAAAACTGGGTAAGCGGCCCTCCACCCGAAATAATTGCCCAGCCCTGCTCTAGTACCAGTCATCTTCCCTTCTAACAGCAACTTCTGACTGTTCCAAGTTGCTGTTTTATCCACCCAATCTTAAATGTTAACTCTCCCCAATGCATGTAGTCAATTCAATTAAATAAGCCAGAACTTTACTCACCTCATTTAAAAAAAACAAACCCCAAACCACAAAATCTTCATTTATTGCAACATCCTTCTCACAGTAGGGAACAATTCTAGAAAGTGATTCCTCGCAAACTTTGGTCTACATTTCAGCAGCACAGAAAGGAATTGCATACACAGAGTGAACTTTTTCTTGTTCAGACCCATCTCTGCTTTTCTAGGCCATGAGAAAGAGACACTTTGGACCTGCAGTATTTTTATAGCTCTTACAATTTTAATAGAGGGCAGAACACAAAATAAACCAAACCCATCTGGGATAGCTGGAAGAAAAGATGAAGGCGTGACAGAGCTGGAGGAACATACTTAGGCTGCTTAGCAAAAAAGTAAGCTTGGAAACAGCCGTTGACTTTCAATGGCTCATTTAACACATGGAACAACACCCCGCAACCAAAAAAACTAATTCAGGAGGCAGATATGCCCACACCCCTCAATATGAAAGGAGAACATCAGATCTCCTCTTCAAAAAAGCAAACAAAAATAATCAGAAGTGATCATTCCTGTTTCTCACCCTTGACACCAAAGGCATGCCCACATGCTACTTTGTGTCCCTACAACAGGAATAAGAGGCTAGGATGCTGCACACAGCAGTGGGAACGCAGCAAGCTGTGTTTAAAGGAGTCTTTTAAAAGAAGCCTTTTGCAAATCCCTCTTTAAGTCCTTCCACAACGCAGTCCCAGACACCCTCTCAAAAGCAAATGCCCATGTCTGTGGTGCTGTCTGTAACCAGTCAGTCCTGCTAAAGCATCTCCAGCCTCCGAGCGCAGCCACAAGACGACAAACGAGAATGGAGTCCTGTCATATAAACGGGGAGCAAGTCCTTCTGGCTCAGGCCTGTGCCCTCCCTCTTGGCGGGTACCCCAGCTCCACTCTGGGCTGGGAGAGATTGCCCTCCCCCAGACACACGAGGGTGGGGGGGAATCCCAGGCAGGGCCCAGGCCATGCTCAGCGCTTCCTCCTCTTGCCCCCAGCCAGGCGCTGCTGCTTCTGCTGCCCCCGGCGGCGCTGCTGGGGGGTGCCCCACCCTCGTGCCCGTTTTCCACGCTTGCTGCGCTTGCGGCCCTTGGCGCAACCCGTTGATGCCACCTCGGCGTCCTCCTGGCGCAGCTGCTTGTTGGTGGCGCGCGCCACGTCCAGTGGTGGTGGCTTGGCCAGCGTGCGCCCCAACTCCAGCTGCCGCCCACGCTCAGCTGCCAAGTCCCCCAGCAGAGGTGCGAAGTGCCGCTTCTTCTTGCCACTGCCAGCGCTGCGTGGCGGGGGCAGAGGCGGCTCCCGGGGCAG